CTTCGGATTCTTCTCCAGTCTTACCGTCTGCGTCGCTACCGTTGTGACTGCGGGGGGATGTTGAATCACGTGATTGTATTAGGAAACATAGGTTAGATATTCTGGCTTGCCTTGTACTCCAAGTAGATCATGTACTCCTATATATATGCCCATGAGGCTCAAGCAATACAATGACTATTCCACCAATCCCCTCTTTCCCTTCTAACACCTCCAACAGTTTTGGCACACGCCTGCGTGCAATCCACTTGCACAGCCAGAAATGCACTCTGGGACCAGCTCAAATAATCTGTGGGTCCCTCTAGCTTCATGTCCATGGGCGATAGTTCGATCTTCTCAGCCACTTCCTGCCGAGGAGTGATGGCCCCAGAGTTCGAGTCCGCGAGGTTCTTGGCAAACTTCTCTAAAACTTTAGCAAGGCCTTGTGGTTCACCCATCTTAGGTAGCAGCAACACACAACTCTCCTCTCTTTCAGCAGCAGCCGCAGAACACAGCAGCACCTCCTCTACAGCAGCAAGCAGCAATAGTCAGCAGAGGACACATCAGCACAAAACCTCCAGCAATAGCAGCGGCTCCACAGCAACATCACACACTCCTATTTTTTCTCCCCCTCGGCAACAGCAGCAGCTGCGACCTTCTCCTTGGACACACAACAGCAACAACTGCTCCAGATGCAGCTGCCCTTCTTCCTCAAGAAACACAGCAGGACAGAGAAGGAGAAGAGGTTCGGGGCAGCAAGGATCCAGCCTTGGCCATCGCCAGCGTAACCTCTACATGCTTGACGTTCGCTCAGATCCGCCCCGCCACCTCGCGGGCTGTCGCCGTTGTCACCTCAGGCCCCGCCATCCCAGGCCTATGATACCATGTTGGGTTGAGGGAAGAGACGTACTCCCTCCGTTCCAAAATAGATGACCCAACTTTGTACTAAAGTTAGTACAAAGTTGAGTCATCTATTTTGGAAGGGAGGGAGTACCTCACAACTCTCTCTTGTGTGGCGGCTTCACGGGCACGGGTTGACTCGATGCACCTCTTGTAGGTCAACCCTCCACATGGGCTTGGGCCCTGAGAGACACCCTAGATGGGCTTGTGCCCATAACGGTTCAACATGGACTAATGTCAAAGTTGTTCAACTTTTATATCAAAGTAATTGTTGGACCAATACTTAAGAGTTAGAGCTCTAACCCAATGGCCGAACACATCAGACCCAATCCCAGCAATCTATTCTTTTCAGTAAATAAATACATTATTCCTTATAGTGAGGATAATAAATTCAGTATAGTTTGCGGAATATTTTACTAGTTTGACATTTTTTGATAGTTGACAATTTTTAAGGTAAAGTCTACAGCAGATTTATAAGTGCTAACAATGTGCATCACATTCTTCCAGACATGAGCTCAACCCTAACCTCGGAGAAGTGTATGTTGTAGCAAGTTTGAAGAGATCAACAAGGTATATGATCAAAAGTACCATGTCTTCCATACTTATATTTGGTTATTAGAAAATTATTTTGCTACAATTGCATAATCTTGCAACTGCAACTGAAAATGAACTATACTGCAAATATAGTAGTGTGTAGATTTCATTATGTTTAATTCTGAGGTTTTTTCCTTGTCATGCCAGTTGTCATAGTCGTTTCAAGGCTTGCAGTTCTTTGATGCTGACGGGGTTCTAACCTTATTTATTACTTATTATACTTGTTCACATGAATAGTCGTTCAATTATTACACATATCATTATATATATCCCTCAAAGAATCAACATAGGTCGCTCATGACAGTAGTATGATCTCAATTGTACCAGTTTGTTTTCAACAAAAGTAAGTCAAATCCGATAATTCCTACATACAGTAGACTCATGCCCTGTGTCTGCACCGAAAACGTAAGATGGAAGAGAATGCAAATACAGGAAAACTAAGCCTGGTGGGGGAAGCGAAACCCATGACTGCAGGGTACAACATTAATTTGCAATAGCTTGACATCAACAGTTAAGTTAAGATAAGAGAGGAATAACATGGCCTGACAAACCTCAGGGGCCTCCTCATCAACGTCACAGTGGTGCACCCTCTGGGACCACCGCCGTTGGGGTTAGACCCCTGGTTTCTTGCTCGTCGTCGCCAGCCGCAGATTTCCCTCTCTCCCCAACACTCCCCATGATCAAGCTAGGTGGAGAAGAGAGCTAGAGGAAGCAAGAATAGGAGATACTTTTTTTTAGGTGAAGAATAGGAGACACCGGAATGAGCGAGTGAAGTGAACTGGCTTCCAGCCGACCGGCCTCGCCCTTATAAAGCTCTCCTTAAATTCCGCATTCCCACCGTAAAATAATGGGATGGGTCAGTCTGTCTCCGTAACTAGATTGCCTACCTTCAGGTAATTAAAAACAGTTGCACTGATGCACATAGGCTTATCCACTCAGGAATGTTAACGTAGCTACATGCATGTAAGCTTAATGCAAAGTGTAATTCGTCACAATGCTTTAAAAGTTGATTGCATACAGTTTCATTGTACCACTAACCTGTCTCCCATGAGATTTCTGAAAAATGGTTGGTTGGGCATTTCTGTGATGCTGAACCATCTTTATGGATAATCCTAACCATTTTTATGTACAAGTGTTAATTATGATTGTCATGTTTTTTTCCAGGCTTGTGCGTGTGCTGAAGTTTAAACTCGGAAAAGTGAATTCTATAGCATGTTTGAAGGGGTCAAGGAGGTATATAGTGAAAAGTGCCTTGCTATATTTTATATCTGGTTAATAGAAAAAAAATATGCTTCCTGCCCGTGCTCATCCTTGAAAAGCAAATGATAAGACATTACGATGCAATATACCAATTTTGGCAGTACGGAGTTTGCTCATCCTAATTGCGTTTATTGCTGTGGCATTCAAGGCATTGCATTTTTCAGTACGAAATAGTTCAGGCCTCTTTTGATTCATACGATAGGAATGTCATAGTTATAGAAAAATTGTAGTAAGTCAGATGACATGTATCTCAATTCCTATAGGGAAGGAGATGTCATTTGATGCATAGGATAGGGATTTTTTCATTAGTCTAGGCTAATGGTTTTTTCTTTGTAATGTGAGGACTGATTCCTATCCTACATAGAAATAGGAATTCGTTCCTAGAAACCAAAGGGTCCAAATGAATTTTGCCAAAAAAAATCCAGTAAACCAAAGAGGCCTTAGTGTTTACATACACAAAGTCGTACTCTTTTTTGTTTTGGCATTGTTGCCTCCAATGTATAACGCGTGATGCATTAACTGATGCAGCATCGCGATTGGGCATGAGAAAGGATTAGTGCTGGCAGACATAAGGCTCCGAGAAGATGGTTTGAGCAACTGAACAAAAACCAAATGTTAATGCGAGCCATCGGAGTAAATCAAGATGGTTGGAGAAGGCTAAAGAACTGTTATATTCTTGTGAATCTGATTGGGTTGATTCAATTCGAAGCGGCAAACAGACTAAAGAACTGTGATCCATGCATGTAATATTCCCCATTTCTTTCTAAACATGTTTGTTATTGGAATATCTTTAAGCACATTTGATTCCCTGGAGAAATCGGACACCCTTTTTTTATTCACGGCATGTCCTTTGTCCTACTCCTTGTTAGCTTCACTTGCAATTTACCTACCCACTTTGATCACCTAAACTCTCTCGGTGTGTTTGGTTACCTACACCGGTTCTTTTGGCCTCCTTGCATCTGTGACTTGGTTGGGCTTGGATAAGCAAATGCAGGGTAAAAACCATGGTGTGCACAATCTGTGACTTGTTTGATTGCATGCATCTTCCCCAATCTGGCAGCGAAGAAACGCAAGTGACGTTGTTTGGCTGTGGCCTTGTTTAGGCAGATGCAGAGTGTCTGCTAATTGGTTAGATGTAAAACATGTTGTGTGGTAACCTCCTTTTGAAGTGGTGGGGTTAGCAGCACTCACAAACAGGACATAGATAAATAGCATACCAATCTTAAACACAAACAGTTCAACATGTGTGCCACGAGTCCTAAACAAAACAGGAACTACCTACACAATAGAGAACTTCATACACATCCATGGTCAGCACCACCTTGATGCCATTGTCATTGAAGACGATCACCTTGAGGGTGTCAGGATTCAGCAGCTTGAAAGTGCGGAGGAACCTGGTCACCTTGAGGGTGTTCGTAGTCAATAGCTTGAAAGTGCATAGGTAGTCGATCCTCATCCGGTGAACAACGACGAAGTGGACCCAACCCTTATCAAGGACAAGCTTGTCGTTGATCACCCGGACCGTCACCCTCCAGGTGTTGCCGATGCATGTCTTTAGCTTGAATTCCTAAGGGACGTCAGCCAAGTGCTTGGTGAAGTCCAAAGGCATCGGCACACCAACTTTGGTGCAAGCATGACCTTACACAGGTGGGTTAGCCCAGCCTCCTCCTCATGCAAGGGCACATAGTTCCTTGCCCGCTTGGGGGCGCTGCAGGGCTCCACCGCCGCCTTGCCCTTGTCGTCTCCTTTCCCTTCATGTCAGTCGAAACCACCTCCTTGCCCTTGGAGTTCTTCGACGTAGCCTTGTCGAACTGCATTACAAACATCATGAATGAAGGGACAAATTCAACAACCACTACTACCTTTCTCTATCTCTCTGTCACAGCACCTCTCCATCTCCATGAATAATCCCATCAGCAATGATGGAGGGAATTCTTCCTTGGCTCAATCGCCGTTCGAACCCCTAAAATCCATCATACATGCCTAAATACAAGGGCCTCCAAGGTTCCCACGACTAGGATGTAGTGGTGTTTGTAAGATAGATTTACTCCCCTCCCCTCCTGTACTCATTCAACCATCAAACCTCTAAAATCTTTCGGATATGCCTAAACCCAAGCGCATCCAGGGTCGCCGTGGCTAGGATGCAGTGGTGCTTGTAAGGTAGATTTAACTCCCCCCCCCTCTATACTCAATCAACCGTCTAACCCCTAAAATCCATCGGATATGCCTAAATCCAGATGGTGGTCAACCCCGTTCGAACCCCCAATTTCAATCGGATCCCTATTGCACGAATCGAATGCGGAAATCAAATGGTACAACAAGGTGGTGAAGGTGGTGCTCAATCCCGATTTGAACCCCCAATCTCAATGAAATGCTACGGTAGGCTACAGACAAATAGAGTGCAAGGACAGAGGACTTACCTGTTGGAAATATGCCCTAGAGGTAATAATAAATGGGTTATTATGATATTTCCTTATTAATGATAAAGGCTTATTATTCATTCTAGAATTGTATTGACCGGAAACTTAAATACTGTGTGAATACATAAATAAATACTATGTCACTACTAGGAAAAAACCTAGTAGTAGCGCGGGTTAAACAGCTAGTAGTAGCGCGGGTGCCTGCGCTGCTACTATGGCGCTACAGTTAACTAGTAGTAGTAGCGCGGTGCATCCCGCGCTACTAGTACGTGTGTTAATAGTAGCGCGGGTTTGACACGCGCTACTATTAACTATCTGTAGCGCGTGTCTGTGACCCGCACTACTACTATTAATTTCAAAAACCAAAAAAAATCTCGACCCCGTGCGTGCTGTCAATGGTTCGATCCAGCGACGATAGGGGTCACCGGAGGTGCGGACGGGCAGCGGAGACCAGATCCGGCGACGGCTGTTGGAGAGGGATTGGATCCAGTGCAGAGGAGAGCAGACGACGGTGTGAGGATCCTCTCCACGGCCAAGGCAGAGAGCTCCTAGTTGGCCATGTAGACGACCTGCGCAGGCATGGGCATGGGAGGTGAGTAAAATCGAAGGGACATGAAGAGGGAAAAAGGGAAACAAGGGAGAAAGGAAGGAGATGGAGGGTGCACCGGGGCTCGTCAACGGTGGTGAGGTGGTCTGGCGTGGTGGCATGGAGATGCGGGCAAGACCGGCGAGCTCCGGGACTCCGGCGGCTCAAGGTAGCCTGCCTCTTTTGGCGCCATGGAGGAGGAGGCACGCCATGCGGTGAGGTGAACTCGTTGGGCGCCATGGAGGAGGTGTGCTTGGGCAGGAGCCCCATGGGAGAACCTATGGAGAGAAGGGGAAGAGAGGGAGAAAGGAGGGATTCGATCGAGGATATGGGGACTTCACCTACCTTGTACTTACTAGTAGCGAGGGGTATAAATCTGCGCTACTACTAAGTTGATAGTAGTAGCGCGGGTTTATACCCCTCGCTACTACAATGGCATGTCACTACTAGGGAAAACCCTAGCAGTAGCACTGGTTTTGTGCTCACTAGTAGCGCAGGTAGGCGTGCTACTAATAAGGCGCTACAGCTATTGCTTAGCAGTAACGCGTGCCCGCACGCGCTACTGCTAGGACAAATAGCTGCAGCATTTGTTCACTCCCACGCTACTGCTAATGTAACTAGTGGCAGCGTGTTTTCTCTCCATCGCTACTAGTATTCTTTTTATTTTATTTTATTTTTAGTGTATTTATGTGCCATCGTACAAATATTGGTACAATACCAGTTATGAGGTTTACATCATTATGTCCATAACAGTGTGTCAAATGAAGGTGGATTAGGTTCAAGTGGAGGCAATATGTGGTGCATGTCAAAAGTATACTAATAATCCAAACATGATCTAGTTTGGACTAGTAGTACTTTCGATGTGCACCACATGTTGCCTCCACTTGAATCTAATCCGCCAGCACAAGCTATTTAATCATCATCATAGTCATTACCACCAACAGTATTTATTTAATCACCACTGACACTAGCTAATAATAATCATCATAGTCATTACCACCAACACTAGCTATTTTATCATCATAGTAATAGTGTACCACATCATCATCTTCAAACTCATTTCTAGCTAGCTAATCACTCATGCTACTCTCTCTTAGGTAAAATAATATAAAACATGTATATCTCTCCTCCTTGATCAAGTTGGAGCATGCAGATGAACCTGTCTCCTAATCGTGGGTAGCGCATCTGTTTGCTGCCCCCTAGTACTTCTCTGCGCTCCCCCATCACATATTTGGTCTAGTCTTGCACTATTAAGCATCTGTCGCTAATCTTGAATGCACTAAAGTAATCTGTAGGATATCTTGGCCGTAAGATAATAATACTCATGGTACCTTTAGTCTCGATCCCATAAGGCACAACATTTATTGGGAGTCCCTATTGAAGAACATCGTATGGTAACATACTTAGCAATGAAGTTTAGCTTCAAAAATAATGTATGGAAAAGATGCACTGAGGACAAATAGTAAAAATTTTACCATCCTTCCTAAATAGATGTGACTGTAGTTAGTTCATTACGAACACTATTGGTCGCACGTTTTCAGTACTAACATTTCTAAATGCAGGAAGAAAATTTGCCTTGACAGTATCAAGATCCGCAAGTCATGAAACATAATGACTGAGCTCCTCGCAGTTGAGTTTTGTCCCGGCACAGTATACGGTCCTGTCTACCAAGCGCTTGACATGTTTGCTTGCACCGAAATAAGCTGACAATACAAATTAGTTGTCAACTATTTTTAAATAAACAATATTAAAGACATAAATATGGTTGAGAAACTTACATAATGGTATAACTAGAGGCGTCTGCGCATCGACCCAGATGTCGGTATTACCTTCAATATCATCTTCCGGACGAATATCAAACGTGATAACCATATCAGGCTCAAATGCATAAGTCTTGCATAGTGCTCGCCATGTTTTGCATC